CCTGTTCACTCAGAAAATTTGACCAATTCGATTAAATCTGTCATGACTCAAGAGTAGATGGGCAAGGGTGCACATACTGTACTTCAACAGCTCTTGAAGAACCTCGTCAACAAGGTATCCTTACATTATCACGTCAATTCGCTGAAGAATTTATCTGTATAAAAAAATGTTCAAGTTGCTTAATTTGTTCCAGTCAACCCTCCAGTTCAACCTGACTTGCAACACACATTTCCTTTCGTTTGTAAAGATCTTAGAACAGACTGTAACCCATTCTTGGCAAATTTGTCCAACGCGTTGGTCGCAAGTTGATTGGCAAGCGCCTATGTCGTAGAAGCGGCGGCCATTCATCGAAGGCACCTCGTTTTTGGAATCAGCCTAAAGTCGTAAGGTTCGCGGTCCGAGGAATACAAAGAATGTGGGAGCAATGGCACTCCAAGATTGGTTAGAAATTAAATACGGTACGACATAGGTACCGTTTGATTGCCGATAGTCATTGCGGACAAGCTCAGTTTCGTCATTACGGCTTGTCGATTGCCGCCCATGCATTCATCATCTCAAGTGGATCCCCACCTTTCACGGAATCGCTTGTGTCATCACACCAGAATTAGGAGGATTATTTTGGCCTCAGGGGAACGGCCTCCAAATAATGGCTTGGCAGCGAAAGTGTTAATCATTACTTAATTCATTTTTATGCATTGAGCAAATCACATACACATGGAGTGCATCAAAATTCCTCATTTGTTCAATAAATATTGAAAGCATGGAAGTGGGCTATAAGAGCAAGAAAAACTCTAATGATGAAATGAAACTATGGTTACAGAAAGACATTTTTTTCAGACATTATTACCATCATGGGGGTCTGTTCATGTTTGATGGGCTTCTCCAAGATCTTGTCTTTTTTTTCCCTAACATATACTCTTTGTGCCAATTTTCTGGATTCCATCCATTTCTAATGCCTGATCTCAGCTGTTGGAAGTAGGCATTTATCATGGCAAAACAGAAAGCTGCCATTTTTTATAACAGGGTGTCTTTAAAAAAATAAGTTAACGCTATAATATAATAATGGGTTTTTATTTCTCTATTTATTGGGACCTTTTCCCCAAAAAATATACCTGAGTTGTTTTAATATACGAGAGTCATTTCAAAAGTAATGCACAATTTACCCTTATTTCAATTTAAAATATATATATATTCCCCAAAACGACTTTACAGCCTTTTAATATAATCACCATCCTGTCTTATGATCACCTCCAAACGCTTCGGTAAGTTTTGCACACCCGTCAGCAGGCCCTTGGTGTTGATGCTCGGGTCACTTCAGCGGAAGCCTCCTCGATACTTCGGAAACGTTTGCCACGAAATGGTTCCTTCAGCTTTGCGAAAAAGATCAAAGTCTGGCGGACTCGTGTCAGGACTGTAGGGGGGATGGGGAAGCTCCTTCCACCCATAGTGTTCCAAAAGTTCAGCTGCAGTAGCTGCCTTGTGCAAATGGTTCCTTCAGCTTTGCGAAAAAGATCAAAGTCTGGCGGACTCGTGTCAGGACTGTAGGGGGGATGGGGAAGCTCCTTCCACCCATAGTGTTCCAAAAGTTCAGCTGCAGTAGCTGCCTTGTGCGGCCTCGCGTTGTCGTGCAGGATGAGAACGCCGGTTGCAGGTCAGGTCTGTAGGTGCGAATTTTTGACTGTAAAGTGACTTTGAGAAAACTTATGTAGTAGGCTGCTGTCACAGTCGTTCCTTGAGGCACCCTATCAGTCACGATCACCTATTTGAGGAATAGGTTAGGTTCAAAAGTTCCAAAGGAGCTTCCAACTTTTGCGACAATTTACGCTCTGAGGAGGGAAAAAAAATTGAAATGGGTCTGTTGCTGGCCCCTGATATGCTGATTTTCGTTATAATCTATAACTTCTTTGTGTACCCCGATCTCAATTTTCACATTTGAATTAAGTTTTAAAAAAAGGCTTTTTCATATCAGATTTATAGATATCTGCCATGTTTTGTACACCGGGAGGTGTAATTTTTTTTAAACAGTGTTGTGATTTCGATGAACACCCTACATGTCACCAAATTCTCTGTGCAGCTGTGTACATTGAACTTTGAAATTTTTTATTCTTCTCGAAAATGCACGTCTAAGATCCTTTGGCCAAAGCAGTCGGAGATAGAAGGCTGCCAATGACAATGACCTAGGGGAGAAAATCACCTATCGCAATCTAAAAATAAGGAACGGCATAGGCAAGTATCCTTTCCTCGAAAAAAAAAAGCGGTGGGATATCCCCTCCTTAGAAGGGGAAAATCGCCGGGAATCGTGAGCCCCATTCGAGCTGTATACGACGAAGTGCCGAATTCCATTTTTCTTAATTACATGAATGTAGAATGCTTGAAATGCCTAAAAGTTAAAATGAATAAATAAAAAATGCCGAAAGCCAAAAACGCCAATGAGACATTTTATTTCAGTGTTAAATGGAATCTACAGTAGAAGTAACCAACTTTGCTGAAGATTACAGTCATCCTATGTAACTAACTAGGAGCTAAAGAGGGCGCAAGTGGTGTGAGATCAAGGAAGCTTTTGGCTGTTCTGTAATTTCAGAGTCGCACATTGCGAGCAATAGCCCTCAATAAGGATATTATATAACAAGATCCACAAGTCTCATACACGCGCTCGTTCCGAGAGCCCTTCGATATTTTATTTCTTCTTTTTATGGGGGTGGCTGACTTCCAAGAGTTGAATCTCATTCTCAATGTTCACCTGCTCCTTGCGTAGTTCGTGGATGAAGACGAAGATGTTGAGGCGGCTTTTACCAACTATACGTAGATAAAAATCGTTTGTGCCAACCTTCAAAATTATTCGTGGTTCGAGGTTCCACATTGAGGGAAAGATTCCTTACGTTCCACAGAGCAGGAGGGAAGAGTGGACTTGTTTTTGGACAACCTCGCATTCGCCTCACGTCAATAATATCCACGGAAAACGAGACAAATGGCATCGTTTCTGCTGGCATGGCACTCGAAAGAGGCAACAACATATTTTGCGCCGGAACGAAAGGGCCGAAATCATCCGGATGCAGATGGAGAAGTCTTCGTTATTGACTTTTGAAGTCGTGACTTCGCATTCACCTATCCGTCTGGATTTTCGGTATTTTTTTTTTAGGGATAGGTTACTGTCGGTGTATTCAACGTTCGGCGAACTGAGAGATTCGACATTTCTGTTCAACATTTTTATCCATCGCTGTTCCGTGCATTCATCGTATTCGGCTGTCGGCATTTTTGTTTTCGGCATTTCGTTATATGCGGTGAATTTATTCTTTGCGTATCAACTTTATACTAATATACATGTCAAGTTACTTCAATGCTGTACATCGATAATTAAGTTCATCCCGCCTCGCTTGAACTCACAAACTGTGGTAAAACGAGAAATTCCCTTTCGTGCATGAATTTTTAAAGCAAAACAAAAATATGCGATTTTTGGTTTAACGTTTAAGGAGATAATCTGCCGTAGTAGTCGTATGTTCTACTGCTAGAAAGCAACACTGAACAGATTA